TGCTCTGTGTTCGTCATCACGTAGATCTTCTTTAATCGCCGGAATCATGAAGCAGATTCTTATCACCTACTTTTCGTAGTATACCTCATTTCCTCAACGTCTTACCTCACCCTTGATAACTTGAGGGATCACTGAACGGTATAATGTTCGGTAGCATCAATGCGATAGGCGCCTGTGAGCTAGGTTTTGCAGGAGACTTCTCCATGGCCCAATCCTCTCCTCCTTTCTTATCCGGACTTGGGACCGGCAACAGTTGTGTGAAGAAGCTGTGCCATATCACTATTAAGCTAGCAGAGAATTGAATGTAACTGAATTAGATTCATAGTTTTGCTGCGTGATTTTAAAAGAAATAAAATATGTGGCGACTGTACCAGCGTTTCGATTTGATGGAGATCGACCGTTGCCAGGAATAAGACACGGTGGCATACGAATGCGCGCATATAACATTCCTTCATATAGTAGAATATCACGAATATCCACGTAAACGGCATGCAATTAAGCATCGTGCTCAGCAGATGCCTACAAAACTAACGAAAACGCTGGTAAAGTTTACTTTGATCTTCTGCTATGTTTATAGGCTCGACGTCATAACTGTTTAATAACGTTATTTGTTCACCTTAATATCCTTGTTTTTAAACTTGCGACGAGTCTTATTGTGACATAATTATGAATCGAATATTGTATTTGACGGCACGAATTAAAGTTGATTACAAAGTCAGTGAAAATATACGAGATGCATACGTCAATAATATAGCTACTCTGTACCATCATCATCGTATTATTACTATTTATATAGGCGGTTATAATTTTCACGTTTTCAGGTGCTTTCAGTCGGTTTTGTCATTGCAGTTCAAAGACAACGGAGTTCAGTGTTTAGTCTTCGACATCCTGTAACTCCACTAAGCGCAGGGTTCTCTAATCGGTCCTTAAACTCTGTCGCCATTTTGTTTGGGCAGCGTAATCGCGCCGACCCCTTGTTTCTGGTCGCTTAGACGCAGTTGGTGTATGGCAGGCAAAGCTGCTGAAGCCCTTACGAATTTGGGTCGAATGTGCATCGCGCCTAATGCCTTATCGGTCGCCTTATTTCTTGACCGCAAGGCAGGGAGTATTATTGCGTTGTTAAGTTATGGCTTTGTTATAAGTCTGTTACT